ATAATTGTATATATAATATACAAAAAAATGTCATTAGTTTAAATAATAAATATTAATATAAAATTTTAAAAAACCTCTCTCTCTCTCTCTCTGTTATCATTTAAATTTTTAATTATAACGATTTTCATACAAAACAAATTACAAAGAGATCGATTTCAGAAATCAGAAAAAAGTTTTGTGTATTACAGACAAAGAGTTTACCCCATGTGTTCATAATCAAGAAAATATTATATTAAAATTAATATATCATAATTAATCTGTATGATAATATACATTAGTATTTTTGCTTACAAATTAAGACATCACTGGCCACATTATTCCACCTTTTTTTGGACGATTACGACTGCTGAGGGCACCAAACCTGCGAGTAAGAAATCTATGTTGCGCTTCCGAAAGAATAGATTCTTTATATGTTAAATATCGCGATTACATAAATGTTACCTCACTACACAAACAAAACTGCACAATTAATTAAATTGGATTTGGAAATGGTACAAGCTGGCCAGTTTGAATAGTACATGTGACAGTACTATCAATGTAACATAAATATGTGAAAGTGTTATCAATGCAAGTGTAAACTGATAATTAAACAGATATTAAATGTAAATCAGATTGAATATGCCTGAGCATTTGTAACTTACATCAATAAACTTTTGATATTTTGATAAGTCAAATCAATTCATGATTCCCCAAGCACGAAGTTTATCAATTTCATTGTGAAACACTCTGCATAACAATAAATTGTAAATGCAACATACCTAATACATCTAATGGCGTATCATAATCTTCATCTGTGAACACTTTCTTGGGAAAAGTAGTCATGAGCTGAAAAGGACCATTACCATCTGTCCTATTCATTTCAATAAACAATCTCACTGCAGACAACTGTTCCTTGCTTCCAAAACTTTGTGTCAAGGTTTGTCCGTTAGTAAGCCTAAGCTGAAATTTTATTGTTTGAAATATAATATTTATGTGTTTGTATTGGGTACAAATTTCATATAAATAATGTTAATACTTGAAGCTTGGTTTCGGTGTAATCCTTCCTATGATGTGTGGATGTGGATGTCGATGAAGATGCTGCTACAGGTGATAAATTAATTGATTGGCTACTTTCGGCGGCAGCTTTGGCTCGTCTTGCTGCTTTGTCAGCTTCGATTTGTGCTTTGACTCTTTGTATCGCTTCTTTCTCCTCTGCCTTTTCACGTTTTCTTTGCTCCAAGAGTTTTTTCATTTCTAACTCTTCCAATCTGTTACATAAGTAAAATATAGATTTATATATTCTGCTCACTATTGATATTACAGTTTTATTCTTACTTTTTTCTAGCTTCAGACATTTCTTTTCCCGATCGTATCCTATTTCTTTCTCTTTCAAATGCATTTATCTTCTCCTGTTCTTCTCTTTCCTTTCTCTTTTGTCTCAATTTTTCTTCCAACATTTTTAATTGCTCCCTCTTCTCTTCTTCGGTAAGTGGTTTCTTTTCCTCTGTGCTTTCAGAGAATCTATCATGCCCAGACTTTGTGGCATGGAACTCAACTTCTAAATTAGACTTAAAAAGCTTTCCGCAACTACAAAAACAAATGAAAAAGCAATTCCACATAGCTTCTCTCAGAGTAGTTCCATGTAAGATATAATATATCAATTTTGATGCATGATCAAACACTTATCCTATATTCTAATATTTAGAAGTTTATCTTTGCATTTCAACATACACATCACATTTCATAGATTTGGCCGTTTCAGTAGTGGACACTGGCTGACTGCTAGCACCAGCAACAGTATCCTGTGCTGGTGTGTCAGCAGCCAGCGATGGGGCACTCTCGCCTACAGAAGGTTCAGGTGCTGGTTCAGCTTCATCCGAATGGGCCAGCAACCTAAGAATAAAAATTAATAATGTTAATATAGCTATGAAAGTTTTAGTATTATGCTATGTTCACGTACCATTCCATCGCCGGCTCCACACCTTTATTGCCGGTGATTTCCAAGGCCTTTTCACTGAAAAAAGCGGTCAAATATCATCACAGGTTAGGCACTGAAACCATGTAATGTTATTAACAAACTTACGCTTTAGACATGCTGAAACCCATATCCACAAGGATATCTATGACGCCTGACGACATTTTGCGTTGTTTATTCACACGTTCACCGAATATATCACTTTGAAAAATTGTTCAGACCGAACTCTGCCGTCCAAAAGTTAAACGTCACGTCGAATCGACGCGGTACTTATATGCTGTTATATGCCAACATAGGCTTGGGTCGCTTACGAGATGGCGACAGGCTCGCTAGCGCCAATCTACAAAAAAAAAAAACTTAGACTAATTTTCCACAATAATAAATAATACGAGATCTTTGTAAAAACTAATTTTTCAGAAATAGATGATAAAATCGTGATAAAAATGCGTCTATTTATAACATAGATTATACTATTTGCAATAAATTATATATTAGTCTGTTATAATATTAAACTATAAACAAAAATGTTAATCTTTGAATAATCAAGTTTTACTTTCATGCATTTGGAAGGATTACACTTACAAATTGAATTTCAAGTGGGGAGACAATGCCATTTATTTTCACTTTAAATATTATTTGCGTTCAACAAAACATTTAAGCATTTTTAGTCTTACATTTTCAAGTGTTTATTGGTAGTATAATAAAAGTTTGATTCCTAAGTATGGAACATCAGAAGTAAACTAATCATAAATAAAAGATGAAAAAGGACAAAATAAAAAAAAAAATAGAAAGATGGGCAAGAGTACATATAATAGTAACAATATCACTTAAATTGTACTTAAATATAGCGGAAACTGTCCATTAACAATTACAGCATAGTCTCAAACCAAGGTAGTAATTTCGAATTGCTTGTTCAATGCAACCTCTTCAACTAAGATAACTGTTAAATGCATTTTATTAAGCAATTATACTTTCAACAGTGTCCAGGACAGACATAGCACAGCATGAGAACATGAAAAAAAATAGCAATCTGTTGGAAAAAAAACTACAAATTTCACAGATCATAAACAGAAACATTTTCAATAAAAATAAAAAAAAAGATATTAAGCTGCACAAATTTATCTTTGAGAATATTCAGTTCTGTCATGGATTTATATTATTTCTTCCTTTCAATTTCAAAAAAACAAAAACATGTTTCTACAATATGATTAAAGTTATAAATGTATTATAATCTAGTATTCCTGCGATGCTTTGTCGCCCTTTCCAGAACCACCAGTACCAGTTTTCTTCGGCAGCAAAACTGCTTGTATATTAGGCAGAACTCCACCTTGAGCAATGGTCACTCCGGATAGTAATTTGTTCAACTCCTCGTCATTACGAATAGCTAATTGCAAATGACGTGGAATTATCCTGCAAAAAAATAAACATTAGCATAATTTGAAAAAATATATATATATATTAAATATCAAAATAAAAAACGTAGAAACATTGCACTGGAATAGCAGAAAGTATTACAAGATATCATGAGTTAAATATTTTTGTTGCTAATAACTTAAAAACTATTATACATTTTTATATTAAAAGAAATTCAAGGAACTAATACATTTATGTGTATATACAATTTTAGCTAATTATTCACAGCAGATAGAAGTAAACAGAAACATATACGCTGAAAATTTATGAGTATTGTTAAAAAAAAGGATTAATAAATTTCGAAATTATACGATGTGATTGAAATATCTTGCAGATGTTTCGGATGAATCAACACGATGCATTATACAAATCGTATAACGTCGAAAGCGAGAAATAACTTCCGTAAGTCAGTAACGGCGACGTTCTATATTCTCTCTATACGATACTAAAGATTTAGGGTGCGAAAGTGAGCGAGAACACGAACGCGAGATAGAAACAGGAAGTTGCAGCAGGAAACACGAGAAAGACGACGCGAGAGGGGAAAGTGAGGGATAGACAAAGACGGCGAAAGGAAGGGCTTGCCTAGTCTTTTTGTTGTCCCTGGCGGCGTTTCCAGCCAACTCGAGCACTTCAGCCGCCAGATATTCCATCACGGCGGCGAGGTACACCGGCGCACCGGCGCCAACGCGTTCTGCGTAGTTGCCTTTCCTGAGAAGACGATGGATTCTTCCCACGGGGAACTGCAGCCCTGCCCTGCTGCTGCGGGTCTTCGCCTTCCCCTTAGTCTTGCCTGGAAAGAAGGACACGCCGATGAATGTCAGCTCGCCGTCGCCGTTGCTGGCGCGATAAATCGAGATGAGAAAAATTCTTTTTTCTACTTACCGCCTTTACCACGTCCAGACATGTTTCACTCAATTAAATACGCTTGCTTTCCCGTGTGCTAGAGAGCCTACGAAACGGGCCACGCTGACACACTATCACTGAACGCTGAAAGCCGAATGAAGCCGCGGTCCGCGCAACCATACGGTTACGCGCATGCACGTCAGATATTTTGGCGGCGATCGTGTCGGGCGGGCGATCGTTTGCGCGGGAACGGCCGCGCAATCGTCACTCGCGCCACACAGCGCGCCGAAAATCCCTAACTCCGCTCGCAAAGTGTTTTATTTTATATCACTGCACAACAAGGCTGCGATTGCAGCGACGACTCGGTGATGCGACGACAATAAACTACAGTAACGCATCACGCACGCGGACGACGGTGGATAGCTAGGCGAGTGAGATACGCATCGTCATGTACTGACGTTGAAAATAGTGGCGTGATGCGAAGGAATTTCGAATCGATCGCAACTTGGCACGAAGGAAAGCTCAGTCAGTCACACGGCAAACGTGCGTCGTGCGACGTCAAAATCCAAGTGCCTCGATAACGCGTCACGCACTACCGGCCTATTAAGCGCGTGAGTCCGTCGATCAGTGGACCCTCCTTGAATAATTGCTCGACGAACTTTGACCATTGTGACAGAATCCCTCACGTCGGGCAATCGGCCTAATCTCTGCAACCGATCTCTCTTTGTCGATTCTCCTAGCATTCTGTCGTACACTCTCCTGTCCGTTTCGTTTGTCGTTAAAAGCTAGTGAACCGTGGAAATCGAGCGCAAACAACGCTCGACTATTAAAGGTAACTATATGGATCTTATTTACATTTTGGATTTTATTTACGTTTTCCGTTTTTCCTTCTCGTCATCAAAAGTTAGATATATGTATATTTATTTCACTTTATTTCACTTTATTTCACTTTACAGAATGAAAAATGTGATATCTGATCTTTTTCGCAATGTGATATTTTTCTTAAGAAATTTATTGATCATTAATAATAACAATTAATGGTTAAATGTTTTTATATATATGAATACTTGCTTAAATGATATTCATACTTATAAATTGTTGTCGTTACGTGATTCTTTTCGAGACAAATATTGTTTACAAATATCATCCTTCGTGCTGATGCTCGAAAATAATCCTTGAAAAGATAATTTACTAAATTCCCAAATTAGTTAGAGAAATTAGTCTTGTCATGGAATGATCCATTAATGATTAGTTGGTTTTGCGTTATTGCAGGTTATTTTTGCATTCAACTATTATTAGGAGTTTATAAATGGGAATTTTACTTTGCCAACAAAACAGGATATTTATTAAATCACAATCTGAACAGAGAAACAAACATGTAAATCGGCAAAAAATCGTCTTATCTCAATATCTATGGACAAATTTTGTTACACTTTAGGCCCAACGCGAATAGAAAAAATATTAGGAATAATAATAAATATTAAATATAGGAAATCAGTATTATTTTATTTCAAAACAAGAAAATGAAATGGATTAATGTATATAAATTAGGAAATAAGAAATAATTGATCCATTTCATTCTCTTGTTTGAAATAAAATAATTTTATATATAAATTGCTCTTCCCGATATTCAATATTTATTCCTATTTCTAATATTTTCTCTATTGTACGTTGGGCCTTAGAAAAGAATTCAAGAGATTATTAAAACAAAGCACAATGCTTTCTAGAACTTGTATTGTTTGAGAAAAAACAACCTAAAGAATTTTTACCGTCCGTGATTAATTTTGTTTTAACAAGAATGCCTCATTTCTGAGGTCATTAATGACTCATTATCGTAATGGATCGGACACTCGCGATCAAGTGCAAGCGAATCCGGAACGCGTTATCTTCAAGCGTGGCCAAGATAGAAATAATTTCTCACTATTGCAACCTAATCCGAGTATGCGCATACACGGCAAGTATCACTTGAAATTTATAGAGATTTATCTCGTTGGCTCGGCTGCAACTTTCTGCGCTGTGTAACCTTTTTTGTTCTCGACTGCTGTCGACAGTAGATTGACACAACGGAGAAAGTACGCGTACTCAAATTTTAAACGTTCAAGCTTTCAAAGTATTCACACAGTCTCATACCAATTTTCTTCGAGAAATGTAATTTTAGAATATCTACAGAAAAATATAATTATTCTGAATTATTTTATTGATCTAGCGTGCCTAAGATCAAGAATTAATATCGAATTTGGTCCAATATTTATATATATCTCTAATAATACTAAATAAATTTATAAACACTTTAATATATATAAAAGCAATAAAACAAATAAGATTATAAAAAATGTACAATCTCTTATCATTTCTCTGTCTTCTCTCTTTTTATGCAAGGTCGACTTAACTTTGTTTTAATAAACTGTTCGATTACTTAATCAAGAGAGGAAGAAAGAGTGTTGTCTGACTCATTATTGATTTCATATCTCATTTTTACAACAATTATCGTTTAACACGTTCGAATATGTGACACCAATTTCTAGATCGATGTCATAAGACATTTAACGACTTAAATTCTTTAAAAAAGTTCTTTTACATTTTGATTTTGTCTTACATAACTATCTTTTTCCGCTTAAAATTATCGTCTTTAACGAGCCATTATTTTAATTGTAAAAAAAATATAATTGCAGATATTTAACGTTTAGCCTTTCATAGAATTTCCTGCGCATCGAACGAGCCATTACGACCAATGGTAGCGCAGATGACTAATTCCCTTTCCACCTAACATTCTGTAACGATATTACAGCACACCTTGCCCGATATACATACATATTCGTTCTCTAAAATGAAGGGCATCATTTTTTATTTACATTTTACAAATTTCAAGGCGCCAAGTTAAAATAAATGTATTTCGATATACACAATTGTACGATAAATATCCCTATCTACTTAATTTTCTTAGAAATAAATTATATTTGAAAAATAAACACACAACTTTCACATAATTGATCATGTCAAATACCGTTAATATTGTGAATTAAGGGATCCTTGCCTTCGTTTCTATTATACGTACAACTCAAATCACAGTATCAAAATATTTACTTTGCAGATTAAAGGAATGCTATCGAAATGGAGCTGGATTGTTTTTAATTTCATCATCTACACGAGTACTGCTCCGCCGAACGAAGCTCATGCCGAAACCAAAGCTTTCTTAGAACTAATCGAATTGGACTATGAAGATATTTGTTCCAATACTGCTAATGCTCAATGGTCATTCATTATCTCACCTTCCAATAAAACATTATTAACATGGGTAGATATGCCGTCAAAATTAAATCCATTACACCTGATTTTTTTCATAAACTAAATGAAAATATATCTCGCTATTTTTTTAGGAAGAGCAGCAATATGAATATGCAAAACTTAAGAAGAAACTCAGAAATGAGATAATTGATTCAAAGAAAGAGAATCCAAAAGCACAAGTGAAAGAATCTTTTCAATATAAATATAATTTAATTGAAAAACCCGGCGATGCATTACTAAACAATGAAGATTGGAAGGAAGTAAGGAATTTTTATGGCTTTCGATTAATATATAATAGAAACTTCAATTGATTTTATGTTTGTCCTACAGCTAGTAGACTTTGCTGGTGTCGTGGAATTGGAACAGTCATCTAATAAATTGCAAAACTATTCGCGGGAAGGTAAGAAATCTTTATCGTATCAACTACTATATAAGAAGTGAAAATAATTTTATTAATAAACGCTGTTACTGCAGCAAAAATTCAATGCGTTACGATTCATAATTATATAACTTAATTACTAATGTAATTTGTGATAATACGTGATTTCAGATGCAGAATATTTACTATCTCATAATGGAAAAGCCAAAACTAAACAAGCCGCTTGGAATGCTTGGTACAACCACATGACGCCATTAGTAATGAATTATTCAAATAATTTGCTATTTGTCGCTGAAGCTGCTCAAGAAAACGGTCAGTATTGATTAACATTATTTTGCGAATGTAAACTGCATATATATATATATACAGGGTGTCCCAGACTTACCGTATCACCCGTTAATGGCAGATTCCTGAGGTCATTTGGAGACGAAAATCTTAATATCAAAATGTCGAGGCTACTATGGTATTTGAATGGGAAAGGCTTAAAGTTTACCAATCAGCTTGTCAGAATTTCACGCGCTCAGGGACATCGCATCTCGAAAGGACACAACACTTTATTCAATACGTTTTATTTACTTTACTCAGCTATTATTCACTTTATTCACTTTATTTACATTGTTCGCAATACTGACGAATTTACTAACGATGATAATTTCTAAATTGTATTAAAACACGATGCGCGTCAAACTGTCAAAGCAGTCGTGCCATTGACAAATGACGTTTCTCATGTCATGAGAAAATCAATACTATTGATACGAAGTATGATCTGCTACATAAAGTGTTGTGCAAGGGTCCTTTCGAGATGCGATGTCCCTGAGCGCGCGAAATTCTGACAAGCTGATTGGTAAATTTTAAGCCTTTCCCATTCAAATACTATAGTAGCCTCGACATTTTGGTATTAAGATTTTCGTCTCCAAATGATCTCAGGAATGTGCTATTAACGGGTGATACGTTAAGTCTGGGACACCCTGTATATATATTAAAATATATATATCAGAATTAAAATATGTATAATTTATTAAAATAGGCGCTGAAAATATTAAAGAATATTGGGAGCTGTTATCGGGACATCCTAACGGATACGACAAAATAAACAGCGAATGGAGTCGAATTAATAGTCTTCATAAGAAGATTGTAAAGTTCATCAGTGCAAACCTGGCTCAAAAATATAAAATAACTGCGAATGACACCCTACCTTATTTACTCGGTAAGACAAACATCTACGAATCAATGAATATATCTGCAATTAACATTTGCAAGTGATGTCATATTCGAAATTTTGGTTCTCAATAATAAGAAAAAATTGTTGATCAATTTTTCGATAAACTTTAATGCAGAAACAAGTATTTCATTAATTTACTGTTCTCGTTAAATTTTTGTAAAAGATTGCGGACGCGAAATACCAAAAGCGTTTATTAAATTGGTAAACATTGACAGTTGGCAAATTGGTGGACATCGACATACAATTTTTTATCATTTTCGCTCTTTCATTTTGTATGGTTTTATTTGAAAGGTAATTTACAAGGATACGACTGGACGGATATACCATCAGACGTATTGCCTTATTCAGAGTTAATCTATGATATCAAAAGAAATCTCTGGAAAAAGGTAAAGATTATTTCACATTACATTAAATTTATAGATTACAACCGTTAATATTATAATAAAACCTGAAATTTCTTCTCTGTTGGATTGATAGAAGTGTGTAGGAAAATCTTTATACAAGACTGCATCTAATTTGGGCACAATACTGTTAAAACAAGTTCCCCAAGCTGAATTTTGGGATAATAGTGAATTCAACGGACAATGTCCATCCAGATTGTTAAACTTTTGTCGAGGTAAAATGAGGTATGTATATGCAGAAATTATTACATTTATAATTTAACAACATATTATTAAACTGAAATATTATTTTAGAGTGTCTACCTGTTCCAAAGCTAGTGTGAGTAACTTTTTGAGAGCTCACGAAGACGTCGGTAAAATTTTGTTCAATCAAATAGCTGAAGAAACCACCCCTGTTCTTAACATAGTTAATAGATATTCAGGTAAGAAAATATTCGGACTATTACACGCACAATGCAAAATTATCTGCAAACTAAGGTGGTTGAATATTAAAAATGTTTCATTTTACAGGATTAGAAGAAAGTATATCGACGCTGTTTGGAATATTGTCAGTAAGTCCTGCATGGTTGAAACATACTCATTTAATGAACGTTACTGACAATGTCTCCTATCAAGAGAAACACATGATTGCGTCTTTAATGTTAACCGCGCTGAATGTATTTCCACGATTAGCTTATTATTACTCAGCAGATTTGTGGAGGATAAATGCAATTGATAAGAATATCACCGATCCGACCGATTTGATGTCGTCCTGGTGGAAGTATAGGTATTACAATAAATAATATATCAAAATTTCGGCCTATTTTACAATATATACTATAATATATATTTAATTGTGTAGGCAAGAGTACGAAGGCATGTCTCCTATCACGGATAGCCCCACCTTTTTGGACGATGGTTACATTGTTAGAAATAAACCATATCTTCCGTAAGTATACTAACGCATTAAAGTATAACTCTATTGTGTTATTCTCACGCTAATAATGGAAATATTTTATTGACGCAGAAAAATTCTTGGTATAATACTAGCTTTTCAATTATATGACTACACGCTGGAGTCGACCGAAGTGAGATACGATAATATTACTGGAAAATTAATAAACGGCAAAATAATGTAAGTTTATATAACATAAGAATGTTATAACACTGTGTATGTTTCATCATACTTCTGCAAGCAAATTCTTGATATGTTTTTATTGGATTTCTGTTACGTCTGTTTGTAGCAAGATGATTCAGCAAGGAGGAGCCGATGATTGGCAAGCTGTTTTGAATAATTTCTTAGATATAGATGATATAATTGTAGACCCGCTCATTTCCTATTTTACACCGCTCGAAGAATTCATCGAAGAAAACGAAAATTTCGAGTATAAATCTGGAGCGACAACGGACAAAGAACTTGAAGAATTGGAGAAACACATTTTGAAAGAGATCAACACCCCCTCTACGACACCTGTGCCGATTACTACTACAAACCAAATAACAACAAAGGCTGCGTCATCGTCGTATAAGAAAATAAGCAACGACAAGAATATGCAAACAAAAGTGGAGAAATCTCTGGACTCTAAATCGTCCGTATATATTCAAGAAGATAAGCCAAAAAAATCCGAGACAAATTCATCAATCGACCTTTCCGTCGATGAATCGTCATCGACCGATGCTACGAATGATGCAGAAAATGATACGCCAAAGATTAACACTCATAAAGCGATATGGGCCGTGAGCGCAGTTCTCATAGCGATAGTTGTCATTTGTATCATCGCGATTTTTGGAAGGCGAAGATGTCGTAAAATACCAAAAAATAGACGGTACGTTTAGCAGAATATAAACTTGCTACTAAACATATTTATTTCTCGCATTTGCATTACTAGAAAAATCGATTGCGTAAGTTATTATCACAAACGAAGCCTCTCGTTGCGAGAGACTGTTCTTGAATTTATTATTTAATTTCGGAGCATTCAACATCACGCATTCCTCAGTGATGTTCCTTGCTACGTATATTTTCCTTCGCGGACATCTAACGACTACTTCACTTTCAATCACAATTGCCTTTCATCACTACCTCCAAATCTTGGGAAATAAATTTTCTAGCTGCTCGTATCGTTCGCGCGATATTACGAAAGTCCTAGACGCAATCTAGATGCAGCTCTACCGATTTATACTAAGTGTAAATTTAATATCCTATCATTTTGGGTATCCTAGAATGATATTATGCGAATAAGTTAAAACACAACATCACGCATAAGAACGTCTTAAGAGAATAAAATACAATTTGCATATTGTAATTCGTATATCGTAGAATAACTTCTATACAAAATACTTTAAGATATTACGTATACGTTCCCTGATTGAAATGCCAAACCTATACCTCGATGACTAGCTCAACGTCATATTACGTCTGTAGCACAACTAATCAAGTTGCATAAGCATTGTACATAATCACAAACGATAGAAAGAGACGTTTGAAAAAAAAGTGATGTAGTTAATTAATTAACAAAATATAGAATTTACGCATGATGATTATTATCATTATGCACGGCTAAATATTTCAGTGTACTTAGTATAAGTAGACTATTTTTCTACAAATATTTAGTATTGTCTTCAAGTATTGTGCTTGTGCGTTATTTATATATCATTGTAAAAAATTTATATTTTTTATAAAAATACCATATAGATGTACCTGTTCGTAGGCCAGGACAATAAAATATTCTACAAATGGAAAACGATTCGATAATCGGGTGTAAGCGATTGTGCCAAAGAAATCGCGCGTGTTCTATTTGTAATATCTCCAAATGTTCAGATAGCATACAATCGAAACTATGACAATTGCTAAAGCGTGCAACGCACGCTGTATTTATTAATTAAAATAAATATTTTGCAGACACAAAAGAGAAAATATGTTTTATTTTCGTGTTTTATGTTTACCTTAAATAAATTAAATTGCAATTCTTATAAGATTTTTATATAAAACTATTTATTAAAATAACAATTCTACAAATCTAAACCCGAAAAAAATCAAACGAATGAATGAACTAGCGATTAGCGTCCTAATTATTGAGAAATTAAATATTTCACATCTAAGATATATTTGACACGAGACTTTCGTTGGCTTAAAGTTTTTAATTAATGCATTCTTTATGTTTCAATACGAATAACGAATACGCAACGTGTGAAAAGTGAAGAGATTCGAGGAATTATTTCGTTAGATTCATACTTAATATTTATCCCACAATCATATGTGCGTTACGTCAGTACACAGCCGGACTGCAAGTGCTGCAAATGCATGTAAATCAATCACCGATCGACAATATTTGCAATCGTAGGCGCGCGAAGGAGCCTCGGGGGTGGAAAGCGGAATCTTTCCCCTTTCCACGAACGACCGGTGGTGCGGCCTGTACGGAGGGCATGCGCGTTCGTCGTTACACGAGGGTAGTACGCGATCAGGGAGGGGTTCTGCTCGATTCCAGTGACTCAGAAGATATATTTCCTAAAGTGTACCTCGCCGAGGGATTCGATAATCGGTTAATAACGCGGCAGTACGTTGTCGTTCGTCGAATCGCGGCGTTTAATGAAAAAGCTCGGCTTTTGTCGCGATGCCCTAGCGTATGCGTCGAGTGTACGAGTGTCAAGCAGCGCGACCACCACCAGCTGCCCCCTTCGCCATGGACGTATGTATGTTAGCCGCTTCTAATATTGACTAGTTTGGCGACGCGAGCTGTGGGCGTTTCTGCGTTTTCTCTCGCCTTTTTCACGCGACTGCAATTTCGCGCCGCGACTGCCGCGAGATTCGCCTTCGCGAGGATTAATCTTTCACGACGGAGTCATTGAGATATGCGTTGATGCGTCATTGACCTCGAAAGTCCTATAAAATCGATGAAGAAGTACCCTTTAAACCGGTGGCCGGACGAATCGTTCAAATGGTTCGTTGTACTTTCGGAAATTGCGACGCGCTGCACGAAGGAAGCTCAGCGTAAAATGTCTCGCATCGCGCATACGGAAACATTCGCGACGATTCAATTCTCTAATGGGATTTAATATTCTCAATTCGTTTGCTCTTAAAATAATCGATTTATTAAAATTATTAATCTTAAAATATATCGATTTTTCTGCGGATGGTTTTCAATGCAATAATTCGCAAATTTCAGACGTAAATTGGATTGCTTTGCTATTTTTATTTTAAATTATTGCTTTCGATTAACTACAAAGAAGTATCGTGTTTAATTTGAATAAAGGCAAATACGAAAAAAACAATACACATTTTCTCTGAGATTGCGCTTTTCTGTGTAAAATAGGTCAAGACGTAAAGACTGATAATTCTTGCTTTCTTGAATTTAATTCGCACGACATTAATTTCCGTTTGTCAAGTCATTCGAATTCGTCTGCCGGATTTCCTTATCTAGTTACGCGACAGATGTCCATTGTCATTATACGCTAATTAGTCTTGAACGTCTTTTAACACCGAGACGATGCAAGGTTCAGTTCACACCGGCCGAACAAACGCGATTAACCGATTGTAATTTTCGCGGGCACGCGGTAGAAGCGCGCATCGCGATCTCTCTCTCTTTCTCTCATAGTGTCTATAATACCGTCTAAAAATATCAACCCCGCGGAGTGTTCCGATTTATAAATGCATACAGATGAAATCGTCTCCAGGCAACGAAAACGATCGACCATCTGCAACTGAAGGCTTCGAGGCAGTAATGATCGAGAATATCCTTCAACAACTGCACTCCAATTTTCTTACAATCAAAGACAGTCGGATTACATTTAATTTTTCAGATTCTAAAAAAGATTAGATCAACGCCGCACCGAAATCTTCAATTAGCCAAAAACTTATCCGTTTATCGCGAATAATATTGCTTCATAATGTTACATCATACTGCTACAATTTTTATTAAAATTTGCACATGATCGCGTTGCAAAGCAGGCGTCGAGTGAGAAATAAATTTCTTTGAACCTTTAACCTCACGTCGTTTCATTGTCTTTATTTGCAGCGTCACGACTAACGTCATTCACGCACCGGATGGAATTATGGAAGCTTGTGACGTAAAGTATCTTGCACACCGATTGACGTTGAACCAAATCATCTGAAAACGATCGTGGGGAAAAAAAGCCCACGGCTTGGGATTTATCAATCCGGACAGCAGGTTTGCACATCTTTTTATAAGACATCATCTACTTTAACGCGATCGATTTTCTCTATTTCTCACTTTAATAATTTTGTTATACGATCAAAGTGCAAATTGACATGAGAATTAACCGTAAAATGCAGTCTGCATGATAAGAGCGTGACATAACTTTTAAAATATTTATTTAAAAAAAAAATGAAAAAATTTCATATGTATACGCAATCAGTACTACAGCACTTTTATATTAATAAATCGTGTCCAATCATTGCCGTTGTCAATTATCTGTCTAATAAGACCGCACATTAATTATTTGGAAATCGATACATCAAAAACTTTGAGCAGATAGAAGGATTCTTCCCTTACGACGCGTTATACAAAGAGTTTTAGTTATTGCACGACGTATTTAACGATGAGTGCGCTAAAAGATTTGAAGCTATTTTCTTTCGCACGCGTCCGAAAGGACCGAAAATGTCGCGGAAAGCGGCTGCAAAATACACAAAAAGTCCAAAGCGTTTGTAAACAAGTGGCCGTATGAAGCAACAATATCGTTGATAGAGTTGACAGAGCTGCCGATTCCCAAACAGAAGTTCACCCGGTCATATTAGACGCTCTTATTAGACAGATTGTATAAAATGTAAACACGCAATTTTAATGTGGAATTGAAGTGCTTCTCGTAGCGAACACGTGATAACTAATTGGTATTTTCAGGTGTTATTGACAGACAGTCGGAACAGAGATTGAATCGGTAAGTGAATCTCATTTACTTAGCAGATCATCGATTCTTTCGCGATAGAAAACTGCAGATGTGCAAAATGTAATCTGCGAATGTTTGAGCATTGTGCGCCGATGAATGATCATTGTGTTTTAGCGATTCTACTTTCATCTTTTATACAGAGCATATGTACAAACGAATATTTAAATTTGAAATGTGGGCCATTTGAAGAGTTGGCAGATTCTTGGATCGATTTGTACATTTTTGCTGCGAGAGGATAAATTTGCCGGAAAATTCATGATTTGCGAGGAAATAACATTTCTCTACTTTTCGCATTCACTTCGTACTCGTCGACATTGCGTCTTCGAAAACACTCGCGGAATATAAATTAAGTAAAATGAAAATTACGATCGCTCGCTCCGTACCAAAGTTTAAATAAGAGTTTCGAGTCGCGTGACTTCACCACAGTGAATGCATGCGGGAAACTGCATGCGACGTTAGTACATGCAAAAATTGCGCTCCCTCGAAATCAGGAACATGTCATATCAAAGATCAAATCTCGTGTAATTTTATCAAGCTTAAAATATCAAATGTTAATACCGATAACTTATAGGGGATGTTTATGAAAACAGTTGCTACACTTGGCGCTTTTTGTACAAAAAATTGAAACTACATCAGATTCTGCGAGATAAAAAATGCTAAAATGCGAGTTTTCGATTTTACATGCACCTTTATCGAACAGGTCGGCGCATCGATCGATTAATTTTTTTAATACGGCGTAAGTATTGTCGTCCGCCGCGAGCCGCGGCGTGTTGCAAACTCGGATTCGCGGACGTCGCGTGTGCACGAAGCGAGCCCTCGA